ATATGCTCATTTTGCGGGTGACGGTAAAATGGATGCGTCCTCAGGATGCTCTCTGGAATATCTGGAAACATCTCGCCGAGCCACTCGAAGTTGGAAATGACAGTTGCGTCAGTAGGCAGCTCTGTCGAAGGTGCCAACTGAATATAGCACACCACAACACCAACACTTCCGCACGGCCTTCTGTGTTGTACGCCCTTCTATGCTTCAGCAGCTTCCAAGCGAGCTGGGCATTGCCCAGCTGTGTGAACAGCAGAAACTCCCGCTGCAGTGACAACGGGGAAACTGTGGCTGGCGTTTCGCATACTCCTACTTTGCGCTGCCATAACATACGGCAAGCCCTACCTGCTCAGCTGATCCACTTTCCTGAGACGGCGTGACTCCGAAAGGCAGGTGCTGCGAGGCAGAAGAAGCCCTGGACGAAGACGCCAAAGAATCCTCAACTGGCGCTGTGGATGTGCTGGCCGTTCCTTCTTCGGCAGGAGCAAGAGCTTCTGCTACGGGTGGCTGAGGAGACTCCTTTGTCACCTGATGGTACACAACAGAGCACGCACTCGGCAGGCTGCCGCCCATCCGCTTTCCCAATACGGGCAGAGCAAGGGGCAACACGCATTGAATGCGGACATGCTAGCTAATAATATGGTCTGAACTCATCTGAGAGGCTCACACCTGCTGCACGCGGGGAAAGCCCCCTGTGCTGCGGCTCAACGACTGCAGGCGGTCCTCGCTGCATTTGGCGGCCTGAAGTGCCAAGGGGGGACGGCCCCTCACTGCCACCTTCTGCCTTCGGCTCTTTCCCATCAGCTCGCAATGCACAGGGCCTTGAAGGCGGAGCATGCACTAGTTTGTCAGTGGGTTGGCCGGTGGACGTCCGGCCAGAGTCACCACCCAATGCCGGCGGAATCGAAAGAATGGAATAATCCGGTGTGGGGTGTGGTGGCTCATCATCAAGAAGCCAAGCGTCCCCCGACAAGATATCTGCACTTTCATAGAGCACGGAATCAATAAGTGAGTCGAGACCAGGGTCCAGAGGGGTTGGCGGAGGCCGCTGCGGGGTCTCCACAACAGGCGTCCGAGAGTCAGTTCCCAATGCCCCAGGCCTCGACTCAATATAACCATCCTCTACGGATTCCTGTTCCGCCTCATTCAGGAGCCAAAACGCCTCTGAGAACACAGTGCTGCCTCCAGACAACACGGAGTCAATGAGTGAGTCGAGTCTAGGATCGAGAGGGGGAGACCCAGGCTGCAAGGGAGCCTCCACAATCGGCGTCTCACGTATAAGCTTTTTAGCTCCCCTCTCGACGGTTGATTGTTCTTCTCCCTTCCTCTTAACACCTGTTCGCCTCCCCTGTGTCTCCAGCTGCGGAGCCGCTGTTCCCGAAATCGCTTTGCCAGGCGCAGCGGTGGCTGCGTCGGAGGAAGGATTAGGCTCCGTATTTCCTGACTGTGCCTCCATACCTCCAGCAGCGTAATCCAGCTCTTTGACCGTAGCAAACTGGCCTTCTGGGGAGGTCTCTGCAGGTGAGCCTGTGCTGTGTGAGCCATCTGACTCGCCACAGTCTTCACCACCCGAGCTCTGTGCCAGACTGCGGCTCAAAGGCAAGGCAGTTATCCTCCTTCCAATGGAAACGCTGCACACGTAGGCGAGATATACGATTGCGAATATTGTAGTGACCACTGCAAGCAATGACCGTGCCCGTGGCGGTGGAAGCGGTGTGA